ACCCAAGGGCGTCTTTGTACCATCAGATTGTCGAGCGAGCCACCGATTCAACAACTGTCGTTGTTGAAAGTCAAGAAAAGGGACCACGTGACAGGGAGCATTCTTGTAGGAGTTGCGCCTGACACAGCCAATTGTGACGGATATAGAGGCCGAAGTAGCGGGACGCGTTCTGAAGAGGGTGTGGCCCCTTTGGCCCTGTTCCATGCCTGCAGCATGCATCTGGCAGCTGAAACGCGTCTAGAACTCGGCGTGCAGTCTGCAGAACAAAAAGGCGCATCTGCAAACGCATCCGCCGCATCTGCGGTGGACAGTTGACGGTGGATGTATGTAGGAAGTAGGTGGTGGTCGTGGACGGTGGGCACCTTGTTGGTAGCGGTTCCCGCGTGGCCTGCCAACCCGCTGTGCCCCCTCACGGCTTGCGCCCGTCTTGGGGCTTGTTGCTGGTTGGGTGGAGCGGCCCAGTGACGAGGGCTATCTCGATTTGTCCGGCTTGCGTTAAAGAATGCAGGTGATGAGCAAGGCCGTCAGTTTGCTGTGCATCTCGGGCCAAGGAGGAAGCGCAACATTGGGCACCCTGAACGGACGCGAAGAGATGTCGCAAAGTGACTGGTGCGCGTCGAGGTGTTCCTGGTTTTCCATGGTGTTCCTGCAGGAGGGATGATTACAGGAACTCTGGATTCTGCACACCGCAGGCAGACCCCCGCTCAAATGCCTTTAAGGTAATGCCGATCAGCGTTCTGCCGCTGGGGTTGAAGGGATCCGAGGCGACGAGTCACAATGGCAGGGCGAGATGCAGCAATGAATTCCCATTCTTCCGCCTCTTGCGCTCGCTTGGATCCGGACGGTGATATTCGTATTGGCGGGCCATCGTATTGCGCGGCGAGCCTGCATCGTGCAGCCAATCGTCGACCAAGACTCGCGAATTAGACAGCAGTCTCTATCTGCAACTGAGGGCGGTGTTGATCAAATGCCTCGGAGGCTTGCCGACTGGCGTGTCGAGTTTGAAGGCGGGAGAGGGACGGGGGCATATGTCTTCGGGGTATTTTCCTCTCATTTTTTTGTGGCAGACATCAGCTCAAGGAACGAGACGTTTCAATTCGTCCCGTCTTGACGTGGAAGGCGCCATTCGGCACAGCAGAGGTCGGGATTGCTGCGGTGGTGCGTGCTGGTGTGAGGTGTTGTTTCCGGTGCTATTGTAAGTGGCCGTCGTCGTTACGCAATGGACGGCCGGTGTTGGTTGGCGGGCCGCATGGCTGGTTGGCTGCCGTGGCCCCCTTCATGGTCCCTTCAACGGACGGATCAGAGACATCCAGGATGAACGGTGCGGTCAATGTCTGAGTCTGGGGAAGCGCGCGCGGTGGTGATGGCAACTTGGGTGTCGCAGTTTGGCTGATGGTTTTCTTTTGCCTTTTTCCTCTTGGTCTCTTTCCAAAATTGGGTTGTTGCAGACTGGCATTTCCTTTCTTTTTGCCGCTGCACACCAACACACCTCCGGCAGCTCTGACAGGTGCAGAGAACGCTAAGCAAGCACAGAGAAGAGAAAACCTAAGACGCGACGACGGCAGGCGAGGAGGGCACCCAAGACTTCAGGCTGTACGGATGCTCTGCCAGTCTGACTTCCTGGTGGCTTCGGTTCTGGGCATGCCGCAGCTTGCTTGCAGGAAGAGAATCATCCGTACGGAAGCTCGTAGCAGATGGGTTGAATGGTGGGAAGCGGACGCCGGGGAGGTTTCTTATCCGGGCGAATCCCCTGTCGCGTCTTTGCTCCTGGTCTTTGCAACCGGTGGGTATTTTGCCAAATGGTGTCGTTGTCGACTCCTCCTCCTTGCTCTGTTGGACGCGGTTGAGTGTTCGCAGAATCATCGCAGACCCTCACCCAAGTCCCGTCAGCAATCAGTGGAGCAGACAAGACCCCCCCAGATCGGGCCATCTGGACCGCAAGTGCAGGGGTTGAAGGGGTCGCGAAGGTGTGTGCCTGCGCTAGTGTTTCCGCTTAAACATTTTGGGCTCTTCATTGGCCCGTCGTGCTCTCTTTCGCCCCACCTCGAGACTCTGGGAGACAGGGGCGTGACGGAGAGTGACCCCCCAGGCGGGGCAGGAGCGTTGAAGCGTTGGAGCTAAGAAGGAGCGCCCCCTGCCCCCTGGCACGCGAAGTGCAGCCAATGGAAGCCACAGTCCCCTTGGTGAGCCGTGCTTTCCTTCCATCTGCCACTTTGGGTGCTCGACCTCCTAAAAATTGCAGCGAGAGCAGGCGCAATTGCAATTGCAGCCAGGGGCAACCCGTCACACATGCTCTTCCTCCTTTCGAAATAGCCGCCTCCATATTGCCAAGTGCCCTGCAAAAAGCGTGCCTGACTATTGAATTGAACGACGCCTCACACTTGCCATTGCCAACCAGAGTCTAGTAGGTAGATAGAGATGATGACTGAGACTTCTCAACGGCCTCTGCGTTTGCGCTCTTGTTGGATCTTGACGTGACTCTCTCTCGGGAACCGTCTCGTTGGTGACATGACCAACACCCCTCCCCCCACCACCGGCCAGGTCTTTCATTTCCCTGTTGCGGCTCCATTCTTTAATTGAGTTGAGGCTGTCGTTTGCGCAATCCCGTCCCAGGCCACGAGCACGTACCCATATCTCGATTTTAGATAGCAGCGCATCTTGAAGTCTCGGCATACCTTATCATTCTTTTCCTCGTACTTGCCTGTGTACGGCGTACGGACAGACTGACAGGAGCACTGCAAAAAGGACAAGACTGACTCCAAAACTACACACCCCTGATTACCCCCGGTGGAGCTGTGTGCTTATCCTGCTCGCCATCAACGGACAAATGGGCTGTCACTCAGGCCAGACCACACCCCAATATTGAAGCGCACCCCCGTCGTCGATAGACCCATTCGATCCAATCCAGAGCCCCCCGAACCCTCCAAGCCTCTTCTGGCTCTGGCACCTGGCCAGCCCTTCCTCTTTTTGACTCCGGGGATCCCTCTCATCCCCTCTTGTCCCGTCTCGACTCCTCCTTTCGACCTCTCCCCGTCGAGTCCTGTCCCGTCTTCTTCTGCCACCTCCCCGTCCCTCCTCGACATTTGCACGCCGCCGCTTGCGAGCGAACGAGCACGAACGACAGACAACCAACGACACTCCTCGTCGTCCCGTCCGCATAGTCGTCGAGTCGACCAACATCCCACCTGTCGTTGCTGTAACACCGTGAGATCGCCCTGTCCAAGTCCCTCGACAGATCCCCGATAGCCCATCTCCGTGTGTCGTCGTCGCCTACGGATACCACTCTCGCACAACACCCACAGACCCGGGACACCCTACGCACACGCACTCACACACACCGGAACCCAGCTTTTTTCACTTCTCGACTTTCTTTTTCTTACTGTTCAGTCGTCCTCGGTCGACACCTCTTGGCCTTTGCTTGCTTCTCCCGCTGCCAGCTCGGGAATTTCAGCAAAAAATAAACCGCTACCGCCTTGTCTTGAAGACAAAGCCGACCCTTCTCTTAACCCAACTGCCATCCCTCCGTCTCGGAAAAGGAGAAGAAGAGGAAACAACTCGATCCCGCGTCATTGTCATTTGCTCCCGCTGCCTCGGGCTCTCTCATCTTGTTCTCTACGGGTTCCAAACAATCCATCGACCTCCCCACGCGGCCTCACCTGTCAGTTCGCACATCATATCACCCATCGAATCCACCACGGGCCTTCTTCTTCGCCTGATTGTCTCTTGATCTTCAAATCTTCAGACGTCAGTCACAAGGTTCCCCCAGAGAGGTGCTGCCTCCCCGACGCCGGACACACCCTGCCCGTTCCGCCCGTCTGAAACACTCTCAGTCCCTCTCGCCAGCACCGCAAGACCCAGTGTGTCGTGCACCCATCCGCGCCCGTCTCACCCACCTGATTTCTCTTGTCAAGTCGTGCAGACAGACACTCACGTCGTGCCGGTTCGCCGACCATCGTAGCCAGCACTCCTGCACGCGCTTCAGACGTCGATGCCATCATCTTCCAGCCATCCATCATCCTGTGCCTGTTGTCGACAGTCGCCGTCCAGCATCGCTGCTCAGAGCAACGACGACGACGACAAATTCTCCCAGGCGGGCGAATCACGTTGGACAACAGCAAAGTCTCGAAACACCAACTGTACGTGATCCCCTTTGGGACTCCCCCTACCCGTGGCCCGGCTGTTCAGGTATTCCCTGCTTTGGGGGGTGTGGCCGACCTGAAGCGACCCTCCCGAACCGCCGGGAACCTCCTGCTTCTGCACCTGGGCAAGAGTGGCAGAGTCTCTCACGCGGCGTTGTGCAGACAGACAGTACATGCTGCCTTGCTTGCCTGCCTTGCCTCACTCCTCGCCTCTTCTTTCTGTTCTGTTCTGTCTCTCAAACCCTTCACACTCTCCAGTGCTGACCTGGACTTTCCCACGATAGATCGTCGGAGCCTCGTTTTTCATTCTCTACTACCCTAATTAATTCATCTAGCATTCTCTTTCCCTGCTGCCGCACCCGCGGACGCAGTTCATTCCTTCTTCGCCGCCTTTCCTTTCTTCATTCGCCACCCCTCCGATCGCATTTCGCCATCGTCTAGACTTCGATTCTCGTTTTAATAGGCCTGGTTCCTGTTTTCAATCTCGCGCAGTTACACCGCCTCGCAATAGAGTTGAGCGACCTTCGTTTGATATACCCACCCGCCAGTCGTTTCTGTCCGCGAAGCTGCGTCGAGCACCTACAGCAAACCAGGCTGTTATTCGAGCTTATACGAGCAACTCGTCGCTGGGCAATTTCGAAAGCGCCGCCGCATCAGCAAACTATCGGAGACCCGCAGCAATTACTGTCGTAGAATCTGCACCCAGGTGATACCGCAGGGCGAATGGTTTAATTGTCGTGTCTGGACGCGCAGGCACCTTAAAACGGAAAAGAAGAAGCAGAGAGGCAGGAGAAGGAGACTCTGATGTCGCTGGACCGAATTCACGAGTACTAAATGAGTCAACCCCAATATGGAAGAGATATGGATCGACCACCTATTGCAGGATCCGTCAAGCGGGCGCGAGAGCGGGCTCAAGCCGGATTTCCGAGGGACCAGTACGCACCGCCGTCCGCAACACGATTCCCGATAACGGAAGAGGACTTGGACAGCCCCACGGATGTCTCACCACCACCGAGCCGCCAGAACCCCGATCCCGCACCGTCACGAATCCCGAGACCATTACCTCCGGCCGCGCTACAGAACAAAGATGGCGGAATCGGCATGGCCATCTCGCGGCCTACGCAAATCCCCCAATGGCCGCTGCCCGGACCCATCCCGTCGCCGTCCCCCGAAGCCGAGCCGTACCGACCTCCCCCAGGAAGGGGACCACCACCGCAACGCCCACCTCGCCCAAGTAGGGTCCCTTCGATTCTAGACAGCTCCCGAGTGCAAGAACACACTCCCGTATTTCAGTACACCCCCCAGATCGGACGAGAATCGACGCTGAGCCAAGATCCCTCGTCCGCGCCACTCACCCCGTCATCGAGACATACGCAGTCGTCAATGTCTTCCGTAGGATCGATTCCGGATTTCCCATTGCCATCGACCATTCCTCCCGCTCCGATCCCGCCACCTCCTCCCGCCGCTCTGCCGAGACGGAGCGTCACCCTTGGACCTCCTCCGTCGTCTCGACGAGGTGATTCGTCCTTCTATTCCAATGCTTCATTTGTTTCTCCGATTCCCGAAGAGAGCCCAAGGTCGAGGTCGCATACCTCATTTGCTTCTAGCGCCGCTATGCCAGAGAGTTGGGGCAGTCAATCGCCAGGATTCAGCCCAGGATACCCCGATGAATTTTATGAGGATGATGCGTACTCCACGGAGGAAGACGAGGACAACAGCAGAGCAAGCACGGCACAGTATGGCGAAGGTGACGAAAGCAAGCTTGTCAGGAGCGCGAGTGTTGGTAAGATGCAAAAACCATCAATCGTAATGAACCGAGCTCCGAGCGGCGGCGACCCTTTACCGCAGGAAGCGTTCAGACCAACACCATCACCTCTCCAGAACCAGCTCCCGCACAGCCCCTTCGACAACGGCACAGGCTATCTTGAAGGGTCCAGTTCCTCAGGAACGGTGCCCACGATGGCAGCTACGGCAACCACGCCTTCAGTAACAGCTGATGCCATGCTGGGAGCGTTTGCTGCTGCCAGTTCAACAAACCCGGAGGACATGAGAAAAGTCACACCCGAGCCACGGCCGTACAACCGCCTATCGGCGATTCGTCGCCCGCCAAAGTTGGGCCTAGACATGAACTCTGTCAGAGAGATGGAGTCCAGAGGCAGTATGACCAGTTTGCCAGACTTGATCAAACGCGCAACTCGCTTAGCCGCGCTTATTGACAGAGGACGCCGGCCTGCAAGCAGATTTGACATGGATGGAGAATGGCCGGATGAGAAGGCGTTTGGGCGTGAGGGGGAGCACCAAATGGCAAACATGTCAGGTGAGTGAAATGAAGTCTTTTGCCCGTAGTCATCCGCTAACGTCGTCATCTAGCTGCTGAAAAACATCAGTCAGGACTCTCTGACATGTTGGCTGCGTTTCCTCCTCCAGCAACAACTCCTAATCCTCCCCAGCGCGGCAGCTGGTTCAGGCGTAACTCTCAAGGATCATGGCCTCTTGCACCCGGAAGCCGTGGCGGTACGCCAGTACAACCCATGACACGCGCCATGGCAGCCAGATCATCTCCCTTGGCAAGGTTAGAGTCCAACAGCGATGAGGGCTCCGTCAAACGTAAGAGAAGGTGTTGCGGCCTACCACTCTGGGCCTTTATTTTGATTGTTGTCATCGTTTTGGGTATCATCGCCGCTGCCATCATCGTTCCTCTCGAGTTCTTCGTCTTTCGGAAGAACAGGACAGGCAGCACTCCCACTACTGAGCCGGCTCTGGGTCAATGCCAGAACCAGCTCAAGTGTGAGAACGGCGGTACGAATGTCATTTCGCAGAATGTCTGCTCATGCATTTGCACGAATGGATTTACCGGTCAGACTTGTTCCGTGGCCGGCGCAACCGGATGCACCACGACCACTATCACCGGCACCTCATCTAATTTCAATAATGTCACCCTCGGCCAGGCGATACCCCGCCTCCTTCAGCAGGCTCAGACCAATTTCACCGTCACCTTGGACGGAACCGACATTCTGGCAAAGTTCAACACGGAGAGCCTCTCTTGTATTGCGCAAAACTCGCTTGTTACCTTTGATGGGCGCTCAACCCGCCAAGGCACCACCAACTCGCAAGAGGTGGTAGCCAACGTGGGCGTCAACGCTGACAACATACCCATCCAAATCATCACGCTGCTTCCTGGGCAGGCGACGACGATTACCTTCAACTTTATCGAGACTGGTGCCGTTATTGGTCCCTCTGGCGACATTGTTGGCGGGTTCACGACCCTCTCCGGCCCATTCCGCGTCACGACGATCCACGCCTCCAGCTCGACCATGTGGGCTACTATCCCTATGATGCCCACGCCGACGACAATCAGCTCGAGCTCGACGGCTCCAGTCACGATGCCTACAATCCCACCAGCAACATCGGTGCCGCCGACGACAACTTCAACGCCACCGACGACAACATCGACACAGGGGCCTCTGGTTCCCTCGGTACCTGTATCTCCATCGCCGTCGCCCACACCTACGTTCAGCGTCACGGAAGAGACTCTTGACTTTGCAAGAGTCGCCGTGCTGCTTATTCTCGAGAGGCAGAACCTGATGGCCGCGACGACAGCGCAGACGGTGCTCCAGCGGTTCTTCACGCAGGCAGGCACAGGCAGTCGGACATCGAACGGAGGCGTCGCCATCAGCCAGGCATTGAATGTGACGCTCGGCGGAGGTAATTCGGTAGACCTGGTCCACTTCCTCGTCAACGTCCCCGGAAACACCACGACGCCAACGACGATGACGGCGACGAACAGCACCTCATCCGGTGTCGTCGCCGCAGAAGGGAGCTGAATTCGCGCCATGTGAGGATGGGGGACGGTGTTCAGTGTGATGATGGTTGTCGACGGCGTGCCGAGGGGTAAAACAAAAAATGTACATAGTGACGCTTAATGAGGTGATGAGCTGCCAAACCCGAGCAGCAAAAGGATGGAATGTAGGCACGCCGGCGCCCCCCGATCATCTTGTATTAAAAAAGAAGTAGTGTGGCCCTTTTTTCTATTTCTCTATAGCTTTGGAAGTGGAGGAGGAGGAAGAGGATATCAGCACGCATAGCGTCTTCGTTGTGTACGAGTAGGAAGCCAGTCAGCGAGGGCGTTGAGACTTTTTGGAGAAGTCGAGGAGCTGTGCAGATACCATTGATATCAATCAAGACATAATCCGGTCTGATGACAATACTTTGACTCGTTCCCTATAACTTGCCGTGAAGCTCTCATGAATTGTTCTCAACAAGCACGCAATACGGTCCCCATCTTCATTGTTTGTTCGCGCAGAGGGATATACTTCGGACCAGACGTCATTCTCACCAGACATTTTTTCTCGCTGTTGGTGCATGTTGGTCACGAAATGGCCCCAGCGGTGGGATGGTATCCATACGGCTCCCCATCAGACAGGATCGTCGTCGGGGATCGCCGCCGGAGGCGATTTCTCTCTGATTTTAATCTCGCGGAACCAAGGAGGAAAAGGCACGAACGGCATGGCATGTTCACTCCTCGTGGTGGGTTCAGGTTTTTTCTCCGCTTGGGAAGGATGGATGGTTCGCTTACAACTGGACGGTAACAAAAGTTTTAGCGCCGCAGGGCCGGCGATTCCCCGTCTAGATTTCTTCGACTACCGGACGGATCCATGAAGAGAGAGAATGAATGGGTGCAGCAGCAGGTCTGGAACTTCCTTGACATCTCCGTCGGGTGGATTAAGGGTTTGTGCTTTTCTGTTCTAAACTTCCTCGTTAGGGCGGCGGTTTTAGTGAAAAGGATATAGATGGAGCAGGAAGCCACCCGATCTCCATAAATGAAGCTTCGGCGCTCCGAGGAAGGGAATTTGGCCGTGGGTTTGGATTGAGTGCGCGGTATTTTGGGGGCATTGGTTGGTGGTGATTGGCGCGTTGCGGTCGATTTCATATTGATTGGAGGCACAATTTCTATGCGACGAAAGCTGTTGATTAGCGAAGGGGGTAACAACACGTGTTTAGAGTGTTGTTTACGCTGTTTTAGAGGAAATTTGGAAAGAAAAAGAAGTGAACATCCAGGGAATGTGCGCTTGGTGGGTTCCTTTTTGGACAAAGATAGAAACCGGGGAAGATGTGTGGCCGGCCCGCTGGCATTGAACGAGTGCCGTTCTCTGGTGATGACTCGGAAGAGGTGAGCCGGTCAGGCCGGTGAGAGTACGAGAGTGCGAGTAAGTTTTGATTTATCCTTTCAGGATTGAGGCTGAAAGACTAGATTGGAGTGAGGTCATTGAGGGGGGAGGCCGTGTAGCCTTGCTTACCGGTGGAGGATGGAATGAGTCGTGGGCTTATGCTTTTTTACGGATAGAGATTGACGATCCAAGATTGCAGATTGTAAATGAGGCCGAGGCGAGGGGAAGTTGTGATGTGCGGGTGATGGTGAGGGCGCTAGAACGGATGCGGAAGGGTGGGAAGGTGGTGGTTTGCTTTTTCCCAATTTCACCGGCGAAAATTTGAGTTGCCGATGCCTTGGCGTAGTTTATCTTCAGCGTGCTCCTCGTGTTCACTGTTCAAAGTCTGTTGATATCGTGGGTTTTTGCACTGCGTTCTTGGCTTTTCCGCTTCTCGGCTGCCCAGTTTCGGTCTGCCGGGCACGGCGTGCCAGCCTGGTTTATCGCTGTCGCCAGGGGACGCGGTCGTGGGAACACAGCCCCTCTCTGCGCGTGGTATGAAGAAGGGCGTCGGTAGCGTGGCGTGGGGGATGGCGGCCCCCCGGGAGCCAGACTTGCAGTCTTGTTGGAGTCTTCTTTTTTTCTTGGTCAAATCAGTGTCGCTAGACTCCGTCTGCCGTCCCCAGTCACCCTCCGCCCCTCGACACCCCCTTTCAAGGCGCAGATGTGGCCCTCCATTGCAAGGGTACCTGCATCGGTGGTCCCCCCCGGTTCGCCATCGCCTTTCGCAATAGAAATGGGGCAGGTTTTCTGACAGGGGTGGTCCGCTGTCTGCTCCGGCGTCTGGATAAGTCGGAGAAGCAAGCAACTGGGACTTTGGGAGACGAGAGCGAAAGTGAAGAGAGAGAAAAGAGTCTGCTGTGTGGGAGTCGTTATTGAAAGGGGGAGGAATAGTTGAATAATTGGACCTTGGAAAAATGGCCGAACCAGAAGCTGTCAATCAGTGTCATCGGGTGGTCTTGAAACCTGTCGCCCACCTATCATCCGGTCTCTGCGACCTGGGCAGTCAGTTGGTTCGTCTGTGAGGAGGGGGGACGGACTTCTCGAGTAGGAAGGTGAGGCAAGGTCGATGTGCGGGAATAAGAGGCGTTAAGAACGACGATGTCAGCGGCAGGCTGATGGCTGAAGCAGTCGCGTACAGTGCCGCAGTAGACAGATCGTAGCCGTTAGTGGCTCGACGCAACCATCGTGTCGCAAGCGGCGGCGTCGTTGCATGCCACACTGAGGAGTTAAAGAGTCAATCAATGCCGGGTGCCCTGCCCTGCCCTGCCACGTCCTGGGAAGCTCGAGCACACACGATCCCATTCTAAAGGGAAATAAGGTAGTCTTACCCGTCTCCCCCCTCCCCCCATTTGCAGAGTGCAGACAATATCCCTTGCTACGCGCGCCAGTGAGGCTGTGGTCAGATAGCATAGCGGACAGTCTGCAGAAGGGCGAGATGAGGTGGTGGGTATGATTGAAGAGTCTAAAGAAGGGGAAACGGCCGAAAAGGGCGAAGGGCGGCAGGCTGGTGATGGTGGACGGGAGGAGAATTAAGTGCAAGGCCGCCAAGCAGCGTGGTAAGGCAAGGTAGCAGAGCCCACTTGGTTGCAGTGAACTGCCTTAGCCTTAGAGGGGACGGGACTGGGAGGGAAAGGGCTGATGGATGGTGCATTTTGGGTGCTGGTTGCATCCATCCATCCATCCATCCATCCATCCTGACTGGACTGTCCCGGGCTGTCAATCTGAACCTGGAAGTGTGGGCTCGCTCTGCCGCTGCCGTTGCTGCTGCCGCAGCCCGGGTGACCCCTTCCTTGCGCCTCCTTCCCTCTTTCTCTCGTCCCTCATTCTCAACCGCTACCTTTCTCTCCTTCTCAACCTCCTCCTCCCCTCTGCCTTCAACCTCATTCACTCATTTGCGACACGACCGAGGGGGGAAGCGTTCCTACACACTTCCAATCGCTCACCTGCTCTACTACACATCAGAGCCTACTTCCGGTCGCTTCCTGTGCTACATCAACTACGCTACTCATTGCATTGACTCAAGGCCGGCTACTGAGGGAGGACCTCGACGCGCGCACACATCGAAAGCCTCCGTCTGGCGCGATCCCACGCCTAAGCCTTCGGGGCTCGCTCAGTACTATCTAAGCTGGGACAAAGAGACCTCTCCGCGCAGAAGCTCGACCTCGATCTCTGAATCGACATCTCATAGCTACCTCTCATACACCACTTACTCACCATCACCAACCCCCAGCTTGCCCACCATGTCCTACAATCACCAGCAGTCGGACTCCATCTCCAACGCCATGTATCCCGCCGATTCTTCCTACACACCAGGCGGCGGCGCTCAAAACCGCCAATCTACAAACTCCCTCGCCAATGCCCTGTATCCCGTCGACTCCGGATACACCCCCGGCGGCCAAAATCACCACCCATCAGACTCCCTCGCCAATGCCGCCTACCCCCAAGACTCTACCTACCGCCCCGCTGCCCCGACATCCCACCCAGACGACAAGCTCGCCATGCCTCAAGCACGCTACTCCCAGTCTTACAACACCGCAGCCATGACAGGGCCCGGGGCTGCCAGTCGCCAAGCTCCCACAACAGCATACCCGCAGTACCCGCCCGCCACACAACAATCACAGGCCTGGACCCCGACGCACGATCCGTACTCCCCTGCCGTGACCCCGTGGAGCCCCGATGGCATGTCCGCTGCGAACCCGAACCTGCCGCCACCGCCGCCGTACGACCCCTCGAGGCCCGGGACAGGAGCGACTGGCACAAGTACGCCGAGGGACCCAATTTCGCCAAACCCGAGTGAGAGCGCACTTCTTGGGCAGCAGCAGCAGCAACAGCAGGCGGTTGGACAGCAACGTGGGGTGCCTGCTCAGTCTCAGAGCATTTACACAGCTTCGCCGCAAGTCCAGCAACAACAACAGCAAGCACCAGCACCCGCAGCACCACACATTGCGGATCCCGAAGGACAGGATGGACAGCCGAGGGCGTACTTGCAGTCAATGACGGGCGGCATGCCTGCTTACGGTAACAGCCCGGGCGGTCTGGGGCCGGTTGCCAAGGCGCGCAAGAAGAAGAAGCAGAAGCTCGCCATCCTCGCCGCGGTTCTCTGTGCCATATTACTGCTCCTGATCGGTTTGATTGTGGGCGTGTTGGTTGGCATCGTCAATCGCAAGGATGACAAGCCACCCCCACCAGGACCGACCGGGCCCAGGATGATGTAAACCGGAAGATTTCAATCTGAATTGAAGGCGAGAAAAGCGAGAGACTCGTTCCCGCGGGGTCGACATGTCTGGGTGGTGACGTATCGCTCCCCGGAGAGGGAAAGTCAGGGCGTTATTTACGACGAACCCGTCGATTTTGGCGGGTTCGGGCAATTACTTCAACCAATACCCCGTTACGTTTTTACATATTTTGACACCTTTTCTTTGTTTTCATACCAACCACCCAACCTTATTTCTTCTTGGCATTACTTGAGCGTCGCGTGGCGGATGGGGCGGGGAGCATTGAGGCAAGCGACGTTAATGTTTGATCAACCTAGGGACGGAGTATGGAAGGTGTTGTGCGAAGAGGCAACGGCGATTGAGCGGTGATACATATACATACACATCATGGCATACGGG